TCGGATGAAAAACAATTCGCTTCTAACAGCAAGATATGAGGCCGAGATAGCCTGGATGGTAGGGCACTGAGTCCATGTCCAAGAGGTCGTTGGTTTGATCCCCGCCGGCCGAAGACTCCCGTGTAGTAAATGGTGCCTGATGCGCGTTAAATCTGTCAAGTCACAAAGTCCTTCATGTTCTAATAACAAATCATACATCTGGTGGTACTGATCCAGGAGTTTCCTTGTCTTCTGGGTTGGTTCAAAATTACAAGGCTACGGAGTTGAACATTAGTAGTCGTCAACCCAATAACTGAGTAGGCTATTCAACGACGGATATAAAATGTAAAATATAATAGCAACATATATTCAAATGCCTTTAGATGTTGCGAGTTTATCATTCCATAACCATTTTCTACATGATTATATTTATTCATTTTTTTAGCAAACGAGTTTCACATTAAAGATGAACTAAGAAAAATGTCTGTAAGCAATACTGGCCAATAGCCTTTGCTATACAAACATCAGTGTTGGAAGTACCGGGAAAACGAGCCAATGTATACAGATGAGCCAAAGCATGGTGACCATCCACACATTTTTCAATGAACTACCTGGATGACGTGGAGGGCACGTGTTTAAGTTTGAGTGATATTTAACTGATGCTGGAAAAGGTAAAAAAAAATATTGCATTTACTTTTGCGATTGATGGGAAAGGCTTTTAAGTGAATTTGATAGAGGATAAATCGAATTGGCTCGAACACTCGGAAAGAGTGTCTTCGGAACTGCTCGACTGGTAAGTTGTTCGCATTCTATAGATGCAAAGCAGATAAGTGCTAACTTACAGTAGTAATAAAGTAAAGTAGTGATAAATTTATGCAAAGTAGATAGGTGACGGTGAAACCGTCAGTAGATGCCAAAATGTTGGACGTTCAAGCATCAAAGAAAAAGGACGCCGGAGACTGCCTCTCGTGGCGAAACAATATCTGCGTCAAGCAGTGGCTCAGCTTACAGACCAATACAATGCAAGTCCAAGTGCAAGTGCTTCGGAACTCACAGTTCAGCGGGCACTGTTGGATATGGGATTGAGTAGAAGCCATCCCACTCGTTTATGCCTACATTCACTAACGTTATTGTTAACTACGCCTACAAAGAGCCCGATATTTCACCATGACTAAGTGGAAGACAGTTGTCTGATAGTCTGATGAATCACGATTTCTCAATCATTACTTCGATACTCGTGTCAGGGTAGGTCGTCTTACAGGAAAACAGTTGCTTCCCACATGTACAGCAGGTCATGCACAAGCTGGTGGTGATGGTATTATGCTTTGAGGGTCGTTGTCAGGGGCCTATAGTAGTGGTAAACTAGACCCTGTAATTTGCCTTCAATCTAACCATAATTGCTGCCCAGTCGCAAACATACATGTCGTTTGTTTTCCCAACTGGAAGTGGAACCTTCCAGCAGGGAAACGCTTCAATTCATAAATCTCGAATTGTGTTCGAGTAGTTCGAAGAGCATAGTGATGAATTTGAATTAACGTCCAGGCCAGGCCACCTGATCTTAATTCGATTAAGCACAGTTGGGATGTCAGAAAAAGGCAATTCAGAGATCAAATATCACCATGTCGGAATATCTCGACAGCTTAGACATTTTTTACTAACTATCTTAGGTTATCTATCATGAGCTTGTAGCATCTATTACGAAGTGAGTGGCGGCTGTTCTTAAAGTATTATTGAGAAGGTGGTCATAATGCTTTGGTTTCCCCATCTATACCGGGTAATATTGTTAAATTCCCTTTTTTTATACATAAAATTTACCGATAGTCATGGTTATTTTTAATAATAGCTAAAATTTACCCGGCAGGAATGTATTTGATATTTTAAAGTAAAGAGCCATTACCCTTAATTTTCAACATTCTTGTCCTTTTTAGGGAAAAGCACTTTATAGGTACTAACTTGCCCGGTATTCCTCTGTACTGTAGCTTTTTAAGGTGAGTAACTAGTAGTATTTCCTATACTGAGAATTTTCCTACTCTATCGTTGGTGAGAAATTCGTCACCACTTCCGGACAAAAATATTAATAAAAAATAGAAAAAAAAATATCCCAAGGGCTTAAAAATGAAATCTCCCGGCGAATAAATAAATAAATTTTTAAAAAAATTCCAAATCCTAAATTTGAAAATATAATTCGTCTGCTGTACCTGCCTCGGAAAAAATTGCAAGCATGAATTATAAACTGTTTCCCCATTTTGAAAAAAAAATCCCTTTTATTAGAAGGATGTTTTGAATTGGCGAGCTAATCAAAAATCGGTGCTAAAAAATTGCTTAGAATTAGAATGTGTAAAAAAAAAGAACTAAACAACAAATATTATGAGTTTGAAAGTGAGCTTTGGTTGAATCGTTTCCTAGTTTGTTTTTTTCTTGACATCTGCCATCACGAAATGAAATCTAATCAATTCTCTTTTCTGAAAACCAATCCAAAAAACCGTTATTATCTCGACATGAAGCCGTAGAAACCATCCTTACACCATGTTAAAGGGAATTCTTCCAGAACCGTGAATTATTTATTTTCATCTCAGTGTACTCAAGCGCGCTGAAGTGCCAAGGAAATGTTTTACGATTAAAACTTTTTTTTTTCCTTAAGAATTCACTTGATTTTACTGATTTTTCTAAAGGAGGGAGAAAGATTATACCATTAAGTATATCAGAAATAATTATGGGTTTGAGATAATTGACATTTTGTTAAATAGCACGTTGAAATAAAGAACTATGACTTATAGCAAACCCAATTTATGTTATAAATTTCCTTTGCGTAATGTATTTTTTATGTAAATTATTATAATACTCATCAATAATGGTAGCGTAAATAATCCTTATATTATAAATATTAAATAGAAATGTTAAAATAAAATGCTTTTTTTTTTCCCCCTTACAGCAAACTCTCCTTTAAATCGGAGTTTGCATTTTTACACAAAGCTTATAATAAAAGTAAAAATTACCTATTTACTTTTCACTAATTATTATAAAATTAAACTTAATTCTAAATTTAATTCTAAATTACTTTTTTTTCCTCACAGCAAACTCCTTTAAATTGGAGTTTGTAGTTTTACACAAACCGCATAATAACAGTAAATAAAACCTATTTGCTTTTTTAATAATTATAAAGTCAAAATTAAAGTTAATTCTTAAAAATGTCCAATTGGACACAGTTTTGCACAAAGCTTATAATAAAAGTAAATATAACCTATTTACTTTTGAGCAATTATAAAATGATAAATTAATTTAGATACCAATTTAAATAGGCTTATCATAAAATGTTGAGTAATAAGGTAATAATACCATAGGATTGCTAGATTAAAAGAAGCAAGAGATTTTAGTTTTCAGACTTTTATTTTGAATAATAATCAAAATTAAAAATAAAATAACAGAATAGAATATTAAGAAAGGATGTTACATAAATATGACTGGCAAATATCTTTAGATAAGAGAAAATGATTATTTTACAAGTAAACAACCACCTTAAAATGTTTTTGTTTAATATTTTGCTGAGAGTAATTTAAGAAACTTTTACCTTCATGCTGCTACATACCATGCGATTTTCTGACGAATAGGATTGCGCCAACAATAATTGCAAACTGTTTCATGCCATTATTTTTTTACATATAATGTTGACATACATTTTTATTGAATACTCTTACTAAGTAAAAATACATGTTTTTCCGTTTACAAGTCTTATCTTTAAAAAAAATGTTTTAATTTACTTGAATGACAAGTGAAAATTTCTGGCTCAATTCTTTCTAATAATCATAAATACTGTTTTTTTCGTTGTTTATTTTTAAATCTTTTCTGAGATTGTAAAAAAAAAAAAAAAAAAANAAAAAAAAAAAAAAAAAAAAAAAAAAAAAAAAAAAAAACGGAAACATCACAAATGCAATAAAGCGTTATATTTTGCATAATATACATATATCTTAACGATAAGCTATTTGTTACAGGAAAATTAAAATTATTCAGATAAAAGATTTTATTAAATTAACACCGATTTGTTTCAAAGATTCGAAATTCAATCACAGCAGAAATTGCAATTCATATGAATGAAAAGGATACAGTTTTCATTGCATCCCTTTCGCACAGCATATTGTATTTTTAAATCTATTATGCAACTTTTAAGAATTAAAATTTCAACTAAAACGAGATGCTAAATTTTAAATTTACAGAAACTGTTAAAAAAATATTTAACTTCTTGTGAAATCCAATAAAATAATCGTTAAACCATAAATCTGAAGTTTTTCTTATTTTAAGAAAATTTAAAATTGTAAAATTATCGCGTTATTTAAATTTCGTACTTGTAAGCATCCAAGAGAACAGACAGGTGTTTTTCTAAGTCTAATAAAATCCCGCTTCAGAAGCATTTTCCAGTATTTTGTTTTTCAGAATTAGTTTTGAATCGAGGAATCCATCTTCAATTTGATTCACTTGTTCTAAAATGCAAATGAGTTTCGCAAACCTTGTATTGTCATAGTTGTGATCATAACAGAGAATCAAATAAAGGAGATTACCCGAGTATACAAAAATCCTGTACCTTATCTTCTAATAAACTAGCACACGCAAACATAAACTATAAATGCGTAAGGATCTTTCATTCTGTTTTTTAAATTGCCAATAGTTTTGAACAAAACGAAAGTGCTATAAGTCTAAATGTTCAGTCCACTGCATTTGTAGATAATTGCACATTGAGTTGAATGTTTTTCTTATTCATAATTAATGATTGTAATTTTAAATGCATACGACCGGTCATTGCTGTAAGACGATTATTGCAGTTCTGATAAAAACTTCAACGCTTCCTTTCTTCTTGGCAGATTCTGGAATGATTTTACATTTTCCGACTTTTTAACCGCTTGAACTCCCAATTACTTTAAACTGTAAAAAATTATTTGAACAATTTATCTGTTGGATGAATAATTAGGAATGATAAAGTCAAAAACTAATTCAAGTTAAGTTAGTAAAAGGCAATGCGCAACAGAAAATAACTTAGAAAAGTCAATTATTTATTGCACAAATATGAAATATATACATCACGTCAATTACATAAAATATATCTATATACATAAAAGTTATAAAATAATCACAAGCCACTATTACAACACATGAATTATTTGGTAATGAGTATCATGTGAGAGCATGATAGCATCCATCTTTCAACCTGAAAAATAGGAAAAAATTATTTTCATCAGGAGTTTTCAAACTGTGCAGAAACATTAAGTTGGTAACATTCATAAATAACTTAACACGTTTTTGAGAGATCTAAGCACGCAATGGGCAAAATTAATCAATAATTTTTTTAATAGTTTGCATTGATCTCAGAGGTCAAAAGATAGTACTAGTACAAGCTCTTGCTTCACTCTAAAAATTTAACTTGGCGAGCAGATGTTGGCATTATGACATTGTTCATCCGATCTCTGTACAAAACTCTCTAACCAACTTTTTAAGACTACAAAGAAAACTGGTGAATCCCGAATCAGTTAACCAGGATCGGAGAAAGTGTGCGCTATGATCAGACACCTGATGCATCAAAGGTACATCAGGTGTCTGATCACTCTTGTTGCTGCCCTGTGGAAGTTTGAAAGAGGGATAGCAGCTCAAGTGCTGCCTACGTCGTCTAATTCTGGTTAAAATTACGCGGCAGTCCTACCATGGCCATTACAAGATATAGCTCTGAGATAGATACTTGATGGCTGGTTGAAGTGTGATCATCAGACTCCCAGCCTACACCACGAAGAATCTAATCTCGCTTCAAGCCGTGGAAGGCTTAACAAAACTAAACAGCGCTAGAAACTTAGGTCAGCGCGAAGAAAAAGAAGTAAAAATGGAAAGTATTACTGAGCAGTTACCTGATTCCTTTTAGGTGCAAAATAATTTACATAAAAGCCGAACAATAGAAATAAAGAATAGCTTTTGATTAAACTGATCTGAAATGATATCCCATACACCACAGCCATATCACCTGTTAAATAATTTTAACTGAATAAGAAGTTTAAGGACTAAAAGTAGAACAAGTCTATTAAGCTCATATACCAATGGTTTGAGTATCAAATTCAGCTCTATAGTCAGGATACACTGTACAAACATTTTCTCAGGTCTGAAGTAGTATAGCACTGTGTTATTTACACTAGACCTAGTCACACTTAGACCAGAAAAATGAGTTATTTTCAAACATCCCAGAAGATTATTCGAAAACAAGCCATCACAATTTTCGATCCTATACACAGGGCATCGCATGACTCCTCCATTTTGGCAGCCTGAAGACCTGCGTGCGAGGTCGAGCACTTAACGTTAGAACTGTTTAACCAGAACAGAAGTGGTCACCTAACCACTCACTGACCGCTGCGAGTGAAGCGTGAAAATCTGTCAACATTTCTTTCTCATAATCCTTTGAGAGATTAAATTCAATCACAGTAGAGCCATCGCCCAAAAGAGAGGTTCCCTCCCAAGATAATTTATAACATTGCTAAAAAGATGTCTAAACGTGCTTATAATCCTAAGGATGAATATGTCAAACCCTAAAACAATTTAGTCGGGTTTCCATTTTTTCCGAAAATTAACTTCTAGATATCACAAATTATCTTAAAACACAAAATCCATATCATTTTTTCTCCGAATAAGAAAATCACTTTCTCGAACCTCAAGCAACCAATTGAATCCGTTAACAACTGAGGGATATACAAGATTTCATGCCAATGGAGACTGTGTCATACATAAAACAAACCAAACAAGTACTCAAACATCGCTCAAAGAACCTCAAGACTACATAAAGAACCTCAAGACTACATAAAGAACCTCAAGACTACATAAGGAACCTCAAGACTACATAAAGAACCAAGAAATCCACCTTTCGTCCATCGCAAAATATTACTGGACAAAAGATCATAAGCTTGATTTTTCTTCACCTCATATCATCCATAAATGTATTTCAGTTGCTGACCTGGAATTTTTGGAGAGTTACTATACTACATAATCAAAAACAAAATCTCCATTGTTAATGACCTTACTGATGTTTAATATTTAGAAATCATTAATTTTTTAATTTTTAATTTTTTAGCTGTATTATTATGTCTCTGATATAACGTAACTCTTGGTAGCATTTTCATCGCTGTTTTTATCAATCCAGTATTTTATCCTACTGATGAAGACGTACCATTGCAACCCCCCGAAACACGTTTAGATTTTTATTAAAATTTTTACCACTTGTGATTTTTAACCTTAATTTTTATTAAAATTTGATAAAACTAAGGTTTTAAAATTAAAATAGTATCGAGCAGTTTTTTTTTCCGAATTAATTTTGAGAAAATAACGGTATTAGTTCTTCAGTTCTTCCCACTTTGCACGAGGATCTTAAAATGTTTAATTTGCTTAGCTTAGATATAATACAAATACCAACTTCTTCAAATATGGAATGCATTAATTTTATATCTTTCTTATCTTACACAAAGAAAATTATGCATTTTAATCTGAATGTGAAAACTTGCACCTGAATGCTGATAGAGTAATAAATATGATAAAGTTTTAATCTGAAAAAAAAAAAACGATAAGGAAAAATAAATAGAAGAAGCAAAAAACTTACCTTTAAAATGCATTGTTCCATGATAATTTCAACCCCAACATCTTTTAACTGCAACAAAAACAAATAATTAGACAATTCGAAAGAAAAAACAAATTGGTTAGGAATTTTAAATAAAAGTATTTCATTAAAAAATTCTGATTAGTATCTCATATATTGATTATAAAGCAAAATGCAAAAATTCTCAAACATAAAACGGCATTGTCACAAAAGTAAGCAATATAATTCATAACTATGTACACTGCGCAAAATAAAAAACGGACCACCTTGAATAACTTTTGATCTAATGATAAGATCTTCACGGTTTAGGAATTAATCTTAGTGGCTCAAAGGGTTGACCTCAAATATGCTAATTAATCTCTTTGCTTGGCATTAACGTTCCGCTATTGCTCCACGTCTATATAGAAAAAAGTGGTAATCTATGGTTTATTATAGAAAGAATTCTCCTTGCCACAAAGTCTATAAGGCCGTCTGGTGCTATGGAAACAAAAAGCATCACATTTCAAGGAGGCTCACTGACCCGAACCAAAACCTGTCAAATATTGACCAACCTCCTACTTGAAATAGTTAAACCTCGTAACCATAGTACCGCTATTGGTATAGATTATGACGAGAGGAGTTTTTTTTCCCTAAACAGACTATAGGACCGCTCCTTTGAACTTGAACGTAGGCAGAATTTCACAGAATGATATAAACACAGGAGGAAAACATATTTTATTATGAAAAATTTCACAATATAAACGTAGTAACTAGTTCGTTGAAAGTTATATATAACTTGAATAATGTATAATAATGCTGAATTTATTTTGATATAAAATAAATATATTGCCAAAAAAAATAGTTTTAATTCATAATTGTAAGTTATGAATTGAAAGTCACTTGCTAATATTTTTAAGAAATACATATACGATTTATATTTATTTGTGATATTTATTTACAAATATTAGTTTACAAATTAAATCGGCATTTTCAGTAAATATAATAGCTAACATGCTATTATGCAGTTCATTATTATATAAATTATTTATTAATTATCTGATTTTATTTAACGAGGAAAAAAAGAGTTATTTCGAGAAAACACTGTCTGATGCTATATCATTCATTGATATTGAAAATTTACTCATATACGTTATTTTAATTTAAGTTCGTTGAAAGTTTTAATTAGGAATTTTTAGTAAAATTATGAATATTTTCTAAGTTATTTTTTCTTATTCATTGAAACAAATGCAGATTTACAATGAAAAAACAAATGTATACAAAAAAATAATGTATTATACAGTCAAAACTTACTTTATATATATATAGATAGTTTCTGATTACACTTAAAAAAGAATACAAAAAAAGGAAAACTAATTTTATTCATAAACTAAACCCAAAATCACAGAAGGTAGATAATTTAAAATGCATCCATCTGTTGACCATTGAAAGAACTACAAATAATACTATTAAAATTTTATTAACATTAAATACATGCATATTTAGTAGAAACCGCTGATTGAAGACTTAAAACTTAAATATTCGATATTGCAGGGTATTTCTAGATCACATCTCTAAATATGCAGTTTTATATTTCATGTTCAAAAAAAAAAATTTTTTTAAAAGTACAAGGAAGAAGAAAAAGCGAGGAAGAAACCAATAAAAACCTATTGAAAATTGTCAAATCACTAGTGAGAAAGGAGATACAAAAACAAAACCAGTTTAACTGCCTGTGTTTCTAAAAATTGCCTTTCGACTTCTGCTTCCTTTGGAAATCAGATTTTGGCGTTTTTAGCTCCGTCTTCTTAACTAGTCATTCGTAATACTTCGATAGTGTCTTTGTTTTTTCCCTGCTTAAATAATTATTTGCAATCCTTAAATAATTATTTGCAATCCTTAAATAATTATTTGCATTCCTTAAATAATTATTTGCATTCCTTAAATAATTATTTGCAATCCTTAAGGTTTATAATTTTTTAATAAGTATTCCAAAAATATAAATTGCGGGTGATTATTACATAATACACCGTGTATAAAATAGTTAGAATTAAAAAATATTTTGGAATGAGCCAATTTTAGTACCAAATCAGCGGAGAAGATTACCAAACATTGCGGGAGAGTTTTTTGCAATCATACTAATGATAAAGCCTTTCCTTTATATTGGTAAAAAACGAGAGAACTTTGGTTGAACTGTTTTTCTCGATAGTAAATTTAAAAAATATGCTTTTATTTTTTGAAATTGTTTTTTTTTTAAACCTACACATTTTAACCATAAATAAAATCAATAAATAAATCTAATCACTAATTACATACTATGATTATGACCGTCAAATATAAACAAAAACACTGACAGACAACAAATATTATTATATAAAATCTTACTAATAATAGTAAGACGAATAAGCAACATACATTACGAAGAAGCAACATAAGTTTACGAATAAGCAACATTCAACTCATATACTCACGTTGACGCCTGTACATAGATTTTAAATCTAAACTGTCCGGTAGTGGTCTTATAAAATCACAACAAATCTGTACCACTTTGTCAGATAAAACAGCACACGGTACTATTAAACCCAATACCTTCAATATTAAAACCAATGTATTCGGATCCATCTTTATTTCCTTAAGACTTTTGTCACTTTCAAATAAAATAAATGTCACTCGCTCAAACTAATAAAACGTCAAAGTCAAGCTCAAAATTCGCGCTTTGCTATGTTATAATTGTTTGAACAAGTTACATTCGTCAACCTTGGCGAGAGAAATTAGAAAACTATGACTCGTTATTTCTTGTATTTACATACAAGTAATTTTGGGTAGTTTCTTATAGATTGCCAGAACAAATTTGTTAGGTGGTTGGTGCGACTTTGTTGACACACCTGCTCTGGTGTGAGAATTAAATAGTTTCGTTCACAAATTTGTTGTGAAGAATTATAAAAATATGTTTCCGGGTCTAAAAGTTACTGAAAAAAAATAGGACATTAACTTGGTCAAGGTCTTTTTTCTTCTAAAAGCAGAATAATACATTTTGAAATGATGTACAGCTTTTGTACTATTTGACTTTATTTGGATTGCATTGGTGTGCGTGAAAAGATTTTTGCGAACAATGTTCTTTTATATTTTGATTATTTGTTTATTTATTAAATACCTCTAACTTTGTATGCACATTTGACAAGTTAAACAGCACAAAAGACTATAGACAGTAGACGGTGAAGAATAACGAAAACCATCCTGATCTAGATTTAGAAACGAACCCTCTATGTTTAAGGGAAATGACAAGGTAGGTATGTACTTTATTTACGTCGCACTAGAGCTGCACAATAGGCTATTGGCGACGGTCTTGGAAACATTCCTAAGGATGATCTTAAGACATGCCATAGCAATTTTGATCCTCTGCAGAGGGGATGACTCCTCTGCTGCAGCCGCCCGACGACCTGAACGCGAAGTCGAGCACTATACTGTAGAACAGTTTAACGAGGACCGATACCGCGCAGTTCCTAAGCAGGCTGATCAAAGTGGTTGCCCACCAGCTTACTGACCGCAGCCAAACTCCCAAGAAATGATCGGCTAAAGAGACCAGAGCGATCAGAACCAAGATCTTAGCAAAAAATCGAACCTTGGTTCAGGAGGACATAAGCGAAGACTTTATCCATCACACCGTCAGAGCGACTAATCCATATATATGTTCTCCTAATGCAAAATAGGTCCTGAAGTGGACTGATCCTTAAGACACGGTTCCCAGCAGATCCCCGAAGTCAAGCATCACTGAATGCGATCAGTGTGCGGGTGGGTGACCCACACACTGATCCGCACACGGGTGGGTGACAGTCCGCGTAAGAACCGAGGATGTGCTGCATCGTTCCTCGTTAAACAGCTCGATCACTAAAATGCTGGACTTTGCGTGCAAATTGTCTGGCTACCATCAGAACGGGGAAGCCATTCTCTCTCTAGAGGATCGAATTTGAGATGGTATATCTTCGGATCATCCTCAGGGATGGAAGGATGTTTCCCAGACCGTCACCAATACTCAATTGTTCAGCTTTAATGTTATGTAAATAAAGTATCTATCGATCTACCTTTAAATTATAGACCCAATATTTGAAGCCTTGCTGTACAATTTCTAAAACCTCAAAACTTTGTGCTGCGTCGAAATTCGTGAATTCGATTGTATATGTCGTTTAAGAATCTCCCCTCTAACAAACTACGAACAAATAGCCATGAAATGTAAAGTAATAAATTGTCAGTCGGGGTTCACAAGAAACTGAAATTCCGAGCTGTAAAAGAGGAGTCATAAATTAGGGACCCTACATTTTTACATTTTATTTTTACACGTATACATGCAGACTTGTGCGCTCATTATAGAGAATGGCTTAGAATCCGTTGTAAAGTTAAAGAACAGATAGTACAATTTAAAGAAAGGTTGTACAGTCTTGGTTTCGGTGGGAATTGAACCCACTACCTTTACGCTTCAGAGAGTTTGGCGGAATGGCTTACACCGTTCGAGCTGGGAGGTCCCTCTAGGGGTAACACTGATTGCACTTACCAGTTTAGTTTTAGACATCTATAACGGGCAAGAGAAAAAATATTTTCTCAAATCGTGATGTTTATAGATGGTGTGACACAATTGTTTCTCCGTCTTTGATTTAAATCACCTTAATCTAATTTATGTCTTAAGCTTTAATTTAAATCATGTTGAAAAACATACTACAGTTTAACCCCACAATAATGTCCAGGATATAGTAAACATTCGGTAGTAATAAATGTTCTTAGTGATTTCGTCCAAACTACTATTTAAATAAATTGTATTTCATTAGCTATTAGCGAACAACTGAAATATTTGTAGTCCACTTATAAAGGTTTAATAATTTACTTTGTGTAGGTATAAATGTTACAAAATTTTCAGTCTACATGATAAATTCTAAAGTATATAATTACGGCTTTCAATTAAAAATGAGTAATAGACCTTATAAAGGAATGATTAAAATGAGTTATTTTGCTAAAATGAATAAAGCGAGAGTTTTCAAAAAACGGGTACGTTGGACAGAAAGAATCGGTTGTATAGAAAAATCCTACTTTTAAATGCAACTTTCTTCAAAATGACGGAAATAAAAGAAGATAAACGTATAAAAAATTCCAAAAGACGAAAATTGAAAAGATAAATGCCTAAAATATTCGTTATGGGGAGACAATCTTTCCGCTTTATGGAGACTACTTTGAATGTAATTTAACATTCTGATTTAAAATTTTGGAAGAAAGAACTCCATGTAAGGAAATTGTGTTATAGAAAGACAACGTATTAGGTTTGTTAATAAGTAAGATATTGTGCAAATTCCAACTTTCTTCAAAATGACGGAAATAAAAGAAGATAAACGTATAAAAAATTCCAAAAGACGAAAATTGAAAAGATAGACGCCTAAAATATTCGTTACGGGGAAACCATCTTTCCGATATATGGAGACTACTTTGAATGTAATTTAACATTCTGACTTAAAATTTTAGTAGAAGGAATTCCATGTAAGGAAATTGTGTTATAGAAAGACTACGTATTTAGTTTGTTAATAAGTAAGATATTATGCAAATTCCAAATTTCTTCAAAACAACGGAAATGAAAAAAAGAAGATTAACGTATAAAAAATTCCAAATGACGAAAATTGAAAAGATAAATGCCTAAAATATTCGTTAAGAAAGACAATCTTACCGATACAAAAAGAATATTTTGTATGTTATTTAACTTTCCGATTTAAAAATTCGTTATAAGAAACTCGCTGCAAGAAAACTGAGTTATAGAGAAACTACATATTTAGTTAGTTAATAATTTATAAGGCAAACTATGTACTATTGTAATCACCATTTCCTGCAATTCTACTGCAATATGTTAAAAAGTATTTTTCTTACAGATATTGGATATAGTAAATAAACGTTAATAGTGGACTTTTTGGTGGGTTCGCTGTAGCGCTGTCCGACTGCATAACAAATATACCAATTCTTCTGGTTGGTGAAATTATTCTAGCTGCTTCATTCCGATTTAGAGGGATTCCTATAAGCTGTTTAGAGTTGCATGTGGACTATCCTATTTTTCAATAATTATAATAATATATATTTGCCTTCATGATAGATCACAAAATAAAATGTTTGTCTCTAACAGAAGTAGGAATCACGTTTATACTTGGTTGAGTCGTAGAATATTCGCAGTTCACAAATTGACCATATAATTTAATGCTGGGTGTTTTGTAATGACAGCTTTTAATATATATTTTTAATTCTAGTCTAATATTCAAAGCAAATGAAGTCTGCACATTTGTGGAGCAAATCAATGTTTAGGCAAGGGAAAAATAAAAGCTCTATCGAAATCTAATACATCACTGTTGAGGAAGGAAAAAAATCTCAAAACCTGCTTTATCCCGAATTGAAAGACGAGTGTTAAAAATTATTTAAGTTTTAAGCGGCATTCAATCAGGTTTTCTAACCTTTCCCTATAGAGATTTGTCATATTTTGACAGTGTTTTGTTTTTCTACCTTCCCATATGCGTATACCTTCTGTTTCCAATTTTGAAATAAAAATTTTGACATATTCCATTAGTATGAAGTGCGTTTATGGGTGGTCCTTTCGGAATACTCCCCTAAATTTAGAATAATATTGGAAGGCATATCTCATTTTGTCAGTCTCGTTTGTCTCTTGATCGTGGTGAATTACCTACACTTAAAAAATATACGATAATGGTGCAACCAAAATACCCCCTGCACTAATTTCGTAATAAAGTGCTGGAATCGAATTTAATTGATGGTAATAAAATAAAATGAAATAGATAAAAAATAAAATAAAAGTAAAATAAAATAAAAATGAAAATAAAATAAATTAGAAACGAAATAAAATAAAATAGAAAAAAAAATTAAAATAGAAAAAAAAAATGAAAACAAAATAAAATTGAAAAAAAAGTTAAATAAACGTAAAATAAAATAAAAATTAAAACAAAGTAGAAAAAAAAATAAAAGTAAAACAAAATGAAAATAAAATAAATTAGATAAAAAATAAAATAAAAGTAAAATAAAATAAAAATGAAAATAAAATAAATTAGAAAAGAAATAAAATAAAATAGAAAAAAAATAAAATTAAAATAGGAAAAAAATAAAAAATAAATAAAAATGAAAACAAAATAAAATTGAAAAAAAAGTTAAATAAACGTAAAATAAAATAAAAATGAAAATAAAGTAGGAAAAAAATAAAAGTAAAACAAAGTGAAAATAAAATAAAATAGATAAAAAATAAAATAAAAGTGAAATATAATAAAAATGAAAAGAAAATGAAAGAAAATCTTTATGTAGAGATATAGTTGATGTTGCATGGTATAAATTAACTGCAACTCTAAGAGCAAGAGACATTTTCTTTAAAACATGATTTATTTATGATATGCGCATAAATTGACAAAATTTCCTTAATCCAATACATCATCCCAATCCAATATGACAGAGTTGAATATGCTTTTCCGTGGGGCTGAATATGGCGCATTACAACAGCAATCTTTTGAAAAGTCATACTTTTCATTTCAAAGAATAGAATGCATATTCCAAGCTATTTAATAATTTTCATTATCCAAAAAGGCACAAATGTAATTTCGTATCAATTTTCTTAAAAGTTAAAAAAAATAATTCTAGCAAACGTAAACATAAATATAAATGTCTTAAAATCGTTCTGTAATTGCATATTCAGAGAGTGATTATTCGATTTTTATGTGTCTTACTAGTAAAATCGTAATAAAGTAAATGTGTAAATAAAAAAACATAATGGAACAAAATTAAATTTTGCAAAGAGGTAAATGTAGTGAAATAATCCTCGTTAAAAAACAAAACTTCCTTTTTCACTTTAATGCTGCCATCTAGAAATTTCTATCTCAAACAATGGTAAAT